CACACACACACACACACACACACACACAGAATACTGGAGCTTGAACCTAGGATACTAGGGTATCATGAATAAAGGCAAATGCTCGGCCACTGAGCTACAACCTCTGTCCTACTACATAAGTTCCCCACCCCCATTGGTTTTATGGTAGAACACTGACTGCATTTGGGCAGGTTCAGAGACCTACTTATTCTCCTTTAGTCTTGTTTGGTTAGCTTTAGCACTTCAGTTTTATTCTACTTTATTATTTTTTTTCCCGGAAAAAATGCTGACTTTTCTCCTGATACTAAATCAGGAAGGTGTTGCAGACTCTGCTCTAGGACAAAGAGCAAGTTCTGACAACCATATGTAAACAATACCTGGGCAGGGCACTGTGGCACCGTCTTTTAATCTGAAGCAGGAAGAGCTGTGTGGGGTCAAGGCCAGTTGACCTTGTCTATATAGTGAGTCCCAGGCCAGTCACGGCCTTCTAACACAAACAAAAATCCACAGAAAGCAGTAGCTGGCATCAAGGAGGTTTCTGGTCCTTATAAAGCCGGCCCGGGGATCCTCACCTTCATAGGACCAGTTGTTGTTGAAGGTCTGTGTCAAGGCCTGCATCTCCTGCAGCAGGACTGAGTCTGCTTGGGATGAGATTTCTCCTCCATCCTCCTCTTCCAGTACCTCCTCTTCCTCCTCGGGATCTGGGGAGTTCTGCATCATTTCTTCAATCTCCTCAATCACCTAAGGATAAAGCACACACTCTGCTCCCTCCTGGGGGTGTTCCAGTTCATTTGAGTACTCCGCAGCATTCCTAATTTGTTCTCTGGCTTCATAAATATTGGATAATAATAAAAATAGACCCGATCAAAGGCTTGCATATATTCTGGCTTTAATGTAAAGCACTTTCATGTAAACCTCTTCCAAGTGCTCCATTTAGATGAAGGCATTATTGGAAATTAGCTGCTCTTTCAGGAAATGAAGCAGGGCTGCCTGGAAGTAAACATTTACTTCAGTTTGCTAAGCATTTTGTTTCTAAGTGGGAAAATATTTTATCTGCCTGACTATAACACAAAACCCAGTCCATTAATTGTCCCACTTCTTGTAACAGGGAGGTGGGCTGGGGAGGGGGAGGAATACACACATTCCCAGAACAACCCCAAATCGGCAAGAATATAGCTGTTTCTCCAGAATTCTCCTGGACAGGACCTGAAGCTGTCCAGTAAACCGTGAGGCTAAAGACCATAAAATGATAGAAGGGTGGCCAACGTCTGGAGAGCAAAAAAATAGGGAAGAACCCCAGCTCTGAACTTGACGGTTAATGGGGCTCAGCTCCTGCAAGTTGAGGGTCAAGACAGGTGCTACCAAAAAGGACGAATGAACTACCGTGGACATGAGCTGTTGGTACATAAAGAAGGTGAGTAGGCCAAGCCCTCATGAGGAAGTGGGTCTGGGTGAGTTTGGGGGCAACAGCACATTCAGACATGTCTGTCTTTTCCCAGTGTTGTGAGGGACTCAACACCTCTGCCGCCTTTAGATGGTGATCTTGGAGGTAGGTGCTCCCTGCTGGGCTGAACTGGAAGTAATGGAGCTTAGGGTTTCTTCTTTGGACATAATCCCTGTTTTTATACACAAACTTTCTCAAATTGAACTGCAAATTTAGGATATGCCTACCTCGTCTCTGAAGGGCATTTTATAAAATGTGACCAAGTAACACAGTCCCCACTTTAGGGTTTTCTGGCTGAGAGTAACTTTCATGTGACTGTGATGGTTAATACTGATAGTCAACCTGACAGCCTCTAAGTCATCTGGAAGACAAACCTCTGAGCATGTCTGGGAGGTAGTTCTAATTAGGTTAATTGAGGTGGTAAGACCCACCTTAACTATGGGCAGCACCATTCTATGAGCCGGGAGTCCTGGAGAGAGCAGACCTGAGAAAATGAGACCAGGTGTGGTGGTACACACCTTTAATCCCTACACTTGGGAGGCAGAGGCAGACAAATCTCTGAATTCAAGGCTAATTTGAATAAATAAAAGATGAGTTCCGGGTCAGCCAGGACTGTAGAGTTAGACCTGGTTTTGAAAAGAAAATAAAATAGAAAAGAGAAACCGAGCTGAGAACCAGCACTTATCTCTCCACTTCCTGAAAGTGCAGCTGCCTCGAGTTCCTGACACTGCGACTTCACTGCCACTGTGGACTGTACCTTCAAACTAGGAGCAAAATGAACCCTTCCCCGCTTCAGCTGGCTTTTGTCCAGTATTTGGTCAAATTAATGAAAAAAAAAAGTGACTAATACAGAGCCTATCATTGCGTTATAATCCCTCTCTTCAAGTCACAATAAAAACTGCTAGCCCTGGGACTGTAGAGGTGGCTCCACAGTTAAGAGCACTTGCTGTTCTTCCAGAGGACTTGGGTCCAGTTCCCAGGACCCACCTGGTAGCTCTTGTAACTTGTAACCACACTGCCAGGGGATCTGACACCCTCTTCTATCCTCTCTAGGCACCAGATACCAACATGCATAGAGATATAAAGTAAAAATAAATTGATTTTTAAAAAGACTTTTAGCCCTGGGTATGATGAGTTTGAGGCCAGCATGGTCTACAAAACAAGTTCCAGGCCAGCCAAAAACAAAGCAAAACAGAACAAAGTAACTCTTAGACTTGTTCTTTTATTTTGTGTTTATTTGTTTTGGTGTTTTGTGGAGACAAGGTCTCATTCAACAAGGCTGGTCAAGAACTCCTGACCTTCCTATACCTCCCAAGCACTGGGTTTACAAGCATGTAGACCACACCTGCTCTTGACGTGATTTCCTTCTACCCTCTATTCTTTTCTCTTCTTTTTTAAGATTTATTTACTTATATATTTTATGTACGAGTGCTCTGTCTTCATGCACACTAGAAGGGGGCATCAGATCCCATTACAGGTGGTTGTGAGCCACCATGTGGTTGCTGAGAATTGAACTCAGGACCTCTGGAAGAGTAGCCAGTGCTCTTAACCACTAAGCCATCCATCTCTCCAGCCCCAGTCCCCTGTTCTTTACCCACATTAAATCCTACTTTAAAAAAAAAGAGATTAAAAGAAAAAACTGAATCCTACTTTTAGCGTAGGCACCTCTACTAAGATGTTCTTTTGGACTCGGCTGTTTCCAGTAGGGCACATTCCAAACATCTCATGAAAGTTTTTATAGTGTCTAGCTCAAATAAGCACTTACAGATATTTGTTGACTGAGAAGGTGAATAAAAAGACTCAACACTCTGAGGTGAGAAATCACTAAAACTACAGCATAGCAAACTCCATCCCCAAAGTGAAACATGGCTCCCCCCCTCCCCCCATAAAGACAGAAGTGTCTCTACAACTCGTTTTGGAAGGCTAAAAATTTTCAGGGTTCTGTAAAATGTGATAAAACATCTACCACACAGAAACCTCGTCTGTTACTGCTCAAAAAAACCCTGAAAAACTAAAAAGGAGCATTTAAGATACTACACACACACACACACACACACACACACACACACACACACACCCTCAAGCTCCAAGTAAAAGAAATGTACAGAGAGCTGAGCATGATGTCACACTCCTTTAATCCCAGCACTTTCGAAGCAGAGGGAGCTCTAAGTTTGAGGCCAACTTGGTCACAGAGCAAGTTCCAGGAAAGCCAGAAACCCCATCTCAAAAAAACAAAATTAAAAAACAAAACACATTAAAAAGAAGAAATCTACAGAGGCTTCACAGGAAGAAAAGCCAGGAAGCTAAACATGGCCCCAGCACTCATCTGCTGGATATAACCAACTGCTATAACCAACCCAGATATTAGGAATTGGGTCCACATCTACCGTAAGCACATAAACTGAGGCATAAGAGAAATTAAACCTCTCATCAAAGATACCGAACTCATCAAGTCACCACAAGACTGCACATCTTTCTTCCGACTTGGATAGATGTGGCAAGTTTTCCCTGTTAGAACCAAAGGTTCCAGGAACATGGTGGGAAGTGGTTCCCTCCAGGAACATGGTGAGAAGTGGTTCCCATTCATACCTGATCAGCCGTGAGCAGAGGTTCCTCATTGATGCCGGAATCATTTTCACTCTTCTCATTGAACTCGTCCTCTTCCTTCTCATGGATCTGAAGAAGAAAGGGAAGTGACATTCTAACCATCAGCTGTAGATCCTCTGCCCCTAGACCAGCTGAAGGGCCGTTTTAGCCTCCTGCTGTCTGAATGTTCTAACATCAGCCCCTAGACCAGCTGAAGGGCTGTTTTAGCCTCCCGCTGTCTAAAGGGAAAATATGGAGAGGAGCCTGAGTTTCATCTTGTTCCAAATCTGCCCCATCACGTCACACAACAGGCACTGCCAGCATGGCCAGAAGAATACAATAAGGTAGAAGTAAGCAGCACCATTCTGACTCAAGGGGATCAACATTGTTCTTTAACTCACAGGCAGGTTCTCCTTGGACAAAGTGGGAACCGACTTATGGTGAGTGACCAGCTCGTGCAGCAAATATAATTCTTTAATAGTTTCAGTTGGGCAGGGGAGAGGGGTGTCCGGATTTTTATTTTAGTGGGCACTTCAAGGGGTAGGTTGTTTCCGTTCAAATAGTCCCAGCTTTTTGTATGTGATAAAACACCACCCTGTCATTGGAATCCAGGTGTGGTTTCTTAGCTGATGAACCAACATGGGATATATCACATGAGCTAAAAGACAAACTGAGCCATGCCATGAGGGTGCATGGCTATGATTCCAGCGTTCGGCCGGAACCTCCAGCTCACTCACTCCTGCTTGATCTGGAAAGCCCCATTCCTCTCTCCGAACCCCACCCTCTCGGAGAACCTCCAAGAAAGGAAAGGTACCAAAAAGCCCAGTTCTGAATTCTTGGCAGCCAAGGCAGGCAGCTCCTGCCCTGAAGTTGCCAGCTATCCAAGCCCCCAACTCAAGTGCTCAGCTTCTGGCCATACTTGGGCACAAAGCCAGCTTGTGGTGGACACACCATTACTCCTCGCCTACAGACTATAGTTTGGGCACGTGACTTCTCCTGCCTGGATCTCTGGGGCTGGAGAACTCACCCAGGAGTTGCTTTGCTAAAATAAACCTGTTCTTTTACCTTTTCAATTTGTCTTGATCTGGCTTACTGTGTTGGAGAAACCTATTATTGCCATACAGAAAACCTATTTCCCAGCACTACCTGGAGGTAGCCCCAGGGTGAGCAGGAATTTAAGATCCTCCTCCTCCTATCCCTACCTAGCAGCTTCAAAGCCAGCCTGGGTTACATGAGATACTGTTTCGAAACAAAGCAACAACAACAACAACAAAAAAGCCAGGTGTGGTCAGCACATGTCTGTAAGCCCAGCTCTCCAGAGGCTGAGGCAGGAGAATTGCAGCAAGTCCAAGGCTAGCCAGGGTCATAGAGTGAGACCTTGTCAAAAAAAAGAAAGCAGTGAAGAAGAAAAAGAATGGAGGGATGGAGGGAAGGAAGAAGGAGGCAGAGAGGGGAGAGGAAGGGAAAGAAGGAACGAACGGAAAGAAAAGGACAAACAAAGC